ACGTACCGGCACCGGGACCGGCACCGGGACCAGCACCGGGGCGGGTGGGGGCACCGGGCCGGGTCGGGGGCGCTCCCGCGGGTTCGTGCCGGCACCGGGGCGGGAGGCGACACCGAGCCGGGGAGGGAACGCCGGGCCCAGCGGTGGTACCGGGGCGGGAGGAAGCACCGAACCGGCCGTGGGGACGGCGCGGCGTTTCCCGCGGGTTTGCAGCGAGTGCCGGGGCGGGGGGGGCTGCCGCCCTTCCCGGTACCGGTACCGACTCCGACTCCCCCCGCTCCCGGCCGGCTCTCCCGGCTGCCGAGCGCGTCTGCCAGCCCGGCCCGGCACCTTCCGCCGCTTGGCGGGGACACCGACTGGCCTGTCCCCGCCCGGGGCTGCCCGCGGCCTGCCCGGTGCCCCGGTTCGGCGGGAGCCGTGCTGGGAGCGGCGGTGCGGGGCGGGCGGAGCGGCTGCGAACTCACCGGCTCCGGCTCCCCGCCCGCGGCTTTGGCGATCCCGCGCCCCGCTCGCCATCCCCTCGGCCCGGCTTTGGCGGTGCACGGAGCCCAATCCTCCCGGTGTCCAATCCTCCCGGTGCCCAATCCTCCCGGTGCCCAATCCTCCCGGTGCCCAATCCTCCCAGCGCCGTGCCCAGCTCCCGCTCCCGGCGGTTTGCAGTGCGGGTTTCGCGGTGCCGTGTTCGCGGTGCGGGGTTCGCGGTGCCGGGTTTGTGTTGCCGGGTTTGTGTCGCCCGGTTCGCGGTGCCCGGTTCGCGGTGCCCGGCTGTCGCCGCTGCCGCAGAGCCGGTGCTGCCCCGGTGCTCCAGGGCCCCCTGCCCTCCTTCCCCGGCGCGGCTGGGGATGCACTCCAGGGCCATGGTAATTAATGGTAGTTAAGGGTAGTTAATGGTAGCTCCTTGACCGGCGCTTCGGAAGCCGCCGAGGAGGGACACGGCCCCGGGCGGGGGTCTGCCAGCGCTGGCACCGGGACCGGGGCTCGGGGGACATTCCGGGTGCTGCCCGCGCTTTGCGGGTCCCTGCCGGGCTGGCAGCGGAGTGTGTTTGTTTGCTTGCGCCGAGGATCTGTGCAGCTGCTGGAAAACGTGCCCGACTACTGACACCTCGTTCTCGCGCTTTATTTTCGTGTTTTGCCTCGAAAAACATCCCGACCGCAGGTTTCTTGCCCCTGTGTGCGCAGCTGGCGAGGGCCGGAGCGCAGCTGGCCGGGCTGGAGCGCGGTGGGGGCCGCTGTGGCCGGCGGTGTGCGGAGTTTGTGGAGAGGGCAGATGGCTCTGCCTGCTCCGTCATTGCCTCAAGTCCGGACACGCCGGCGTTAATGGCTCCTGCCCTTCCTGGCTGTCGCCCAGCTCTCCGCAGCCAGCCCGGAGGTTTCGGCTCAGCTTTTGTTGTCGGAAGGCGGCTTCAAGGAGACCGGCTCTGCCGGAGGAGCTGCCGCAGCCGGTGGGAGCTGGCAGCGGTGCCTGGCGAGCGCAGGGCACTGTTGGCTCCCGGCTGGCAGGGGGGCATCACCGGGCAGCGTCTGGCAGATCCGGGAGGTGCCACCGAGCTGTGGGCCCGCCGGAGGGGTGTTCAGCGTGGGCTCCAGCTGCTCCTGGACCGTTCCCATGCGGCCAGCAGTGGCCTTGTCTCCCGCGCCCCCGGGCGCAGCGGGCGGTGACCCCCGGGCTGCGCTGGACGGGCTGTGCAGGGCTCCCGTGCCTGCCCTGGGCTCTGCGCTGAGCTCGCTGCTGCATTTCACCGTCCGGGAGCGCACTCGAGGCTCCGTGCTCGGCTTGTGCCCCTGACCAAGGGCTGGAAAAAGCGGCCACAGCACGGAGGGAGGCTGGCCCGAGCAGCAGCGCTGGAATGCGCTCGCACCGAGGGGCTGTTCCCTGAGGATGCTCCTGGGAAAACACCGTAAGTGCAATAGCAGTGCGAGGAGGAAGGATGAGCTGATGCCAAGGACAGCAGCAGCTGTCTGGGCTCGGGCAGGTGGCTGCAGAGCCCTGGGTGTGCCGGCTGCTGCCATCCGAGCGGGGCTGTGCCCTGCACAGCCTGCCATGGCGGCTGGGAGGCCGTGCCTGAGCACAGCCCACGTCCTGCCTGCTTTGGAAATGCTGCTGCTTTGCAAAAGAAATGGAGCTGCAGTGGGTGATAAATCCCTGCCTTGCAAAGCGTGCACCGGCTGAGCTGCGCTGGGCTCCGAGGTAAGGCCGGCTCAGGGTGTGTGTCTGTGTTTGTCAGGGGTGGGATCGGCCCTGGGGCCGTGGAGATTGACAAATCACTTAGTGCTAAAGCCAGGATTGTGCTGTCTCCTGCTCCATCCCCTCTAGGGATGGATGGATGTTTCCAAACGCTCGCTGTGACTCCCCTGGGCTCTCTCTGGGTTTCTGAGCTGTGGGTTGGGGTGTCTGTAGTGGGGAGGGGGGCGTTGAGCCTGTCAGCCCCTGGCTTTTCGGGTCTGGTGCGTCCCCAAGGCTGCTCGCTGAGAGACCGAGGCTGTCCCATCAGAGATGCTGGAGCCAGAACTGTCTCTGCAGGCTGCACAGGCTGGCTCATTAAGTGAGGATGATGAGCAGTGTGATTATTTTGTTCCTCTGGAAGGAGTTGCTGCTGCCGATTACAAACAATTCCTGTAACAAACCCACCTTAGCCTGCTCGGAGCCCCTCTGGGGCTGGTGGGGGCGAGAGGGTGTGTGGCTGCTCCCCTGAGCTCTGTCCTGGAGAGGGACAAAGCCCTGGGGCAGGCTGGAGCCTGTGTTGCTGCTTTCCCTTGTTTTCAGTGTTCTTTGCCTGGAAAGCGAGGGTGTTGCAGCCCAGTGAGCGCCTGGCTGTGGGGGCAGCCCTGGCAGCCCCTCACACCCGTGGGGTGCTGCTGACCAGCCTCGGGCTGCTGCTTCTGCTCGCTGCTGTGGAGCCCGGCTCCCAAAAATGCCAGGGCTTGGAGGTCACCAGCAGGAGAATGGCGAGTCTGTGTGGCTCTGAAAGGAGCCTTGTGCTGTGCCAGGGCGGGGGCTCCCGTGACGAGCTGGGAGCGTCTCAGCGCGGGATCCTGGCGCCTCTGTGCGCTCCTCCGCACGCTGCAAACATCGGGCTGCACCTCAGTCGGTGCCAGCAGCCCCAGCCATGGGCAGGGAGGGGCTGAGCCCGAGCTGGGGGCTGTGCCAGCCTCGGCAGGACGTGGGGCACAGCCTGGCACGCCGCAGCCCCGGCTTTGGGGTGCAGTGCTGGGGCCCTGCAGCAGGGCAGGATGTGGTTCAGCATCTGCCCTTCCCCTGTCTTTGTCCAGCCCCGGCCCAGGGAGCGTGGCCAGTGGCAGAATTGCCCTTTCTGTGCCTCTGGATGAGCTGCACTTTCCCAGGAAACAGCCAATTGTGCTGGCTGGCAGTGCATCCGTGTCCTGGGGCCAGCCTGGGGCCAGCCTGGCCCTTGTTTTCTGGGGCTCCCGGCTCGCTGCTGTGGGAGGGCAGCCCCCAGCCCCAGCGATGCCCATCAACACGGCAAGGACAGCAGGGGGTTGCTGGCCCCTCCAGTGTGGGAATGGGGCTGGGTGACAAGAACTCTGGGACGCAGTGGGGGGGTCAGGCTGGACACTTTTTATCTCCTTTTCACGCACTCTCAGCTCTGTGTGCCAGTCAGCCTCCACGCAGCTCGCTGTCCCCATGTCACTGTGGGCAAACAACCCCGAAGTGCCCGGGGTGCCAGGAGGGCAGGGGACATCTCTGTGAGGGGAGTTCCTGTCCCAGGGCTCCTCGAGGAATCCTAGAACAGTTGGAAGGGACCCATCAGGGTCCGTAATTCCTGGCCCTGCACAGGCACCCCGAGAATCTCATCCTCTGCCTGTCCAAGTGCTTTGTGAGCTCTGGCAGCCTTGGGGCCATCCCCACTTCCCTGGGGGGGCTGTCCCGGTGTTCAGTCACCTGCTGGTGAGCAAACGTGTCCTGATGTCCAGCCCGAACACCACGTCCGTGTCCCCCTTTCCCTCCCCCGTATGATGTCCCTTTGTTCTGTGCCTGTTTGCTCACAGGGGATGTGCGGGCTGTCCCAAATGTCCCCTGGTGCTGCCGCGGTGGCTGCTCCCAGAGCCAGCCCTGGGGAGGGGACCCTGCACCCCTGGGTGGCCTCAGGTCCCCATTGCCCAGGTGTGCGGCAAAGCCAGGTGTGTTCTGTGTGAGCTCCCACCTCAGCCAGGGCTGCCGTGGCCCAGGAGCGTTTTGGAGCGTGCTGAAGCACGGGAGTCTCTGAAATCCCAGTGGGAAAGGCTCGTGGTGGTTCTGGTGGAAGCTGTTTGTTGTTGGAGCTGGGAGGAGCCCAGCACCCCCGCCAGGGTGGTGCCATCTGGTTTGCTTCCTTTTGGGCATTTCCCGTGGGATTTCCGCCCCTGGGCAGGAAAAGGGCGCGGATGGGATCCGGGATGGAATGGAACCTCAGCCAGAGCAGCCTGCAGTGAATGGGGACGCTGCTGTCACTGTGCCTTAAACTGCTTCTGAGCTTTTTACTCTCAAAAGAGTAGAGTGACCGAAGGGAAGTGGGGGAGAGGAGGGGAGAGTTGTGTGGGGCTTTTGTTTGTTTGGAGGAGTTGGAGTTTTTGATTTTTTTCGCATTTTTTTTGCAGATGTTGCAGTTGGATGCTGCAAGCTCTCAGGCCTCCAGACTGTATTTTATAGATCTCGCTGCCTGGCAGCTCTGCTAGAGGGGGAGAAGGAAAACCCACAGGCTTGTGAAAAGCCAGTGTGAGAAATAAATGGGAACTTGCTGCATCACTGAGGCTCTGAGGGCAGATCCAACTCTGCTGCATCCGTGCATGAGTGCACACAGCAGGTCCAGGGGTCCCCCAGCTTCACTCACTTTCCATGGGATTCCGAAATGAAAGGGCTCCGTGCCTCTGCAGAATGTCATTATTGTTGTTTGTAACCGAGATTCCTGTCTAAGGGGGAAATGAATTGCTCAGCCTCTCTATTTCTCATTTTGCAGATGCAGGAAGTGGATCACGTTGGGGTAATGGCCTAGAAATTAAATTTTGCTTTAATACACAAACCCAATTTTGAGTTGGTTGGCTGAAGGGGAAGAATTGCACTGAGGCCTGGCTGGAGTGGGGGGCACAGGGGAGGTGGGGACGAGCCAGCTCTCCAAGGGGCAGCCTGCAGCATCTCTGAGAGCACAGCAGCAATGCTGAGGAGTGAATGAGCTTTGGTTTTCAGAGACACAGAGCAGCTTAACTGCATTTTGGGGCTGATCCTCAAAGAGCCCCACGAACCTGGCTGTGTAAGAGCTGAACACAGTGGGGCAGGGAAGGGTGGTGTCGAGGATGCTCAATAGCCCAGGGCTGGGCTGGGGGGGCAGCAGCCTTTGAGCAGGGTGACCTGGCTCTACACTGCTCTAAGGAGCAGGCTGGGTTTTTGGCTGGGTTTTAGGCTGGGTTTAGGCTGGGATTTTTGGCTGGGTTTAGGCTGGGTGCTCAGGCTGCCACCCACACTGCCGTGTGATGATGATGATGATGATGCCATGCTGTCCCAACGTGACTCTGTGATGGTGGCACTGCTGCCTGTGGTGCTGCTCAGTGCTCCAGCACTTGGATGAGGGAGCCATGGGCCTGCCACACTGAATATATGTCTGTACACATAACATTATTCATTTTTTTAAGGCGGGGTTTTTTTAATTCTCTTGCTCCTGTCAGTACTCTCCCAAGCCTCTGGCCATCGTTGTGGTCAGTCCTGGAGTGACCCTGCAGAATGCTCTGCTCCCTCCAGCACCCCAGGAATTTGTCATTGCTCAGCAGTGTGAGCTTTGCCTGTCTGTGGAGCTGCAGCCTCAGGAGTGTCAGGTGCTCTTGGAGGTGCCTTGGTGTGTCAAACCCCTAGGGAGGCTCTGGGATCGTCTGTGATCGTGACAAATGCAAAATTCGGAACGTTTTGGGTTCTTTTCAGATCATTAAAGGACTTAGCTGTGTGTGAGAGCAGGTACTGTCTGTGCTGTGCCTCTGGCTCCCTCCGGCAGCCCACAGGGAGGGAGCAGGGATGGCAGGAGGAAATTACCTTTGTAGTTACCTGCTCCATCTCCTGAAGTGCAGCTGAGCAGAGCTGAGAGCGATGGCAGGCGGATCCACAGCTCCTGCATCTGCCAAAATTACCTTGGCTGCCCCTCGGAGCAGGGAGGGGAACTTTGGAGAGATGCAGTGTGGTGGAGCTGAGCTGGCCGGGAATGGGGTGGTGGAGGCAGCCAGGGTGGGGTGGTGGAGTGCTCTGGGACAAAGCCTGTGCTGGCTTC